TCCGGCCACTGAGTTTCCAGCGTAACGGCACTGTTTGCGTGTTCAGCACTTAACACGCTGCGTGTGGGCAGTGGACACGTCTCAGGGCTGACAAAAAGAGTACAGAAGTGCTCACGGAAAACAGTAACAGCTGAATCACAACAAGCTTGACTTGACTATCAGTCCAGCAGAACAGTATGTTGCACTGTCCAGCGTGTGTACAGTGGACACATCTGAGTGCTTACCATGTTAAAGCTCATGGAACAAGAGTCACAACTAAATCACACTGACTGCAGCGGTACAGTTGGACAGTTCTTTTACACTGGGGGCTGGAAGATGTCAGGCATATTAGTGTTTTCGCCAGCGAGAGAAGAATTTGCCAAGGACGTTGGGCCGGAGCGTTTCCGAGCACTCCGGGTGTGGACGAGCCTCGTGTTCAGAAGACTGGCCTCTTGTGCGACTGCTGGGGTGGGTGGTTAACGAGGGCAGCCACTCAACTGGCCAAGGGCGGGGTCCTCGCTGGGCAGGGAGACAGAGCTGTGAATGAAGTTCGGTTCGCTGTCTGTGCCGCGCCCCTGTGACACGCCGAGTCCGAACCGACTCGACCTGCCTTCAGCTGAAATACCCATAGGTGTCCACTGAGGAAACACTCCAGCAAGATAGCCAGACAGAGCGGAATGACCCCTCTCCCCCACCCCCTCACCTGACTCGTCCAGTCGCCCCAAACACCACCACGCTGTCGGTGCGCAACAGAGGAAGGAGGTCCTGAAGAAACTCGTCACGCACCCCTCTGTGCAGGAACATGAACCAAACCAAGGCCTAGACCCCCTGCCCTCCCATCCTCACACGAGACCCCACACGGGTACAATTCTCAACAATAAGAGAGGCACCCTTGAGTAAATGAAACGTCCTGCCACATCACGAGGGGCACCGAAACCCATCCGACGGGTGTGGCACAGCTGTTGGCCCCCGAAGCCCCACCTGTTGGGGGTCCAGACTACGTACCCCAAGGTTTCCACAACCACAGAGCTCCCCAAGTCCAGTACCATCAGAGCCCCGCTGAGCCTCTTGGGCGACAGATCCGTCTCCCCACAGTCTCGCTCTCTTCTCCCTTGTGCGCCCCCGGCCTGTACTGCCTGCCCCCCCCCCATCTGCCAGCCCTGCTGATCTCTCTGCTCTCCTGACGACGGACCAAACAGGATCACCTGGGAGCCCCACTCCACCTGGTCCGCCCAACTGTCCGGCCACCCTCCTGAATTTCTCTTTCCCTCTCCTCCGGGGTACACAATCCAGATACAAACATACAATTCAATTTGACCGGAATATTAGGCACTCCTCTACCCACCTTCTCTATAGGCCTGTACATATCTGTCTGCAGCACAACGACTTCTGCAAAGCTTGTTTTCCGCATGCTGCAATCTTTAAATGTGTCCCTCTCCTCCACACAGATTACACTTCACCTCCTCCTTACAGTCAGCCATTGAATGACCCAGGCCTTCACACCTTCTGCACACCAGTTCCCTGCAGTCTACCACGTTATGCCCAGCTTTCCTACAACGTCTGCAAACCGAGGGCTGCTCATAATACAGGTATCCTCGATTAGGGCCCATCTGTTCCATCCGACCTGAATCGTACCCTGTACCTCCTCTTCCCTGTCCAGATCCGTCTTCTGTCCAAAACCTTCATCTGCCCACCACAGATACATACCTCCCTAGGTACGCTGTTACCAGTTCCGTTGGCACGTAGGGGTTGTATGTGAGGACTGCGATGGTCCTCTGGTTAGTCTTCCACATAGGCTCCGGCCTGAAATCAGAGATACCGGGGTGCTTACCTTTTTCTCTGATCATTTCTCTGATCTAAACCACATCTCTCCGCAAAACGGCCTTCCAAGGATGTCCTTGGGTGCCAGTGGCCACCAGCAGTGTCGGGGCGCCCTAGGGGGTAAACGGCTCCTGCGCTTCCTACAGACGG